TTGACTGCACCAATTTTATTCGCAATAGTCGCAATCGAAAGTTCGTATCAACATTATATCAGAAAATGTCGTTAAATTTTGTATTGCTGTTATAATTTCTGAGATATTTGAATTGAAAATATGTTTGACATAAAAATTCCAGATAAAGCTATGGTAGCGCTACGACATTTGCGCAATGAAGTAGCATGCAGACCACGCAGTCAGCGGTCATCACTCTTTTTTATGTACTTAGCGTCGCGCCACTACCGCGTGGCTTGATTTCGTATTTTATTTTCGTAATAAATGAATTTCGTATTTTAGACTATTCAAATTATTCTAATCTGAAGATATATTCTAACAGTTCAAACAATTTAGTCTATTAAATTCTTTAAATCTGACTGTACAATTTTTTTAAATTCCGTAAATTAGGCTATATATAATGTAAATTTTTTCTTTTTTTTTTTTAATTAGTCGTAACATCTTTTTGTGTAAATTCAAACAATACAAAATGTAAATAAGCAAAAGCTATTTATTTTTTGTTTACATTAAATATCAATTTTACTTGTTTTATAATATTAGAAATCTATTCAATTGAACTGATTCAACAAATCGATTAATTTATTAACTCTTTTGATATTAGCTTCTTTTGGATTATTCAAACTTTGAAAACTCAAACACTTCTACATTAAACTATTTGAATAGCTTGATTATATAATTTTTTCGTTTCCCAATTTAAATCTAAAATCATGTCAAATTATTTAATATATTTTCTTATTTAGTGGAACCGCAGGTACAGTAGAACATTATGGTGACACGGCCTGCATCGTCTTCAGTACTGGTGATGTATTATGGGTACCACCCGCACAATTTATCGGACTTTGCGATTTGGATCTTCGTCTTTGGCCCTTTGATACTCAGGTTTGCAATATGACATTTGGTTCTTGGACATACCATGGCGAGCTAATCGATATGCGATTTGCGCTTGAAACCGCACATAAGGTATAAAAAAATGTTATAATATTTAATCATATCGATCTTCCGATCCAATTTTATATGAGATATGAAGAATTACACATCATAACTTTCTCCAAAAGAACATCTTGCAAAATTTATTTTTAAATTTTTATTTATTTTTTTATTTATACGTTCTCTATTTATCGAAAGAAAGTTTTAACAAATACGAAATAGATAATATAAGATAAGATATAAAAAAACTGATATAACTCCATGTTATAGATACTTTTTGTATTATTTGACTGAATTTTACAAGGGAACACAATCAACTGAATCTCTCCAATCTAAGGAGCTTTGGATATGTTAAATATAAATAAAAATAAGATTTACATTTTTTATATAAATGCTGAGTCGCATATTAAAATTTTTGTCTATATTTTAACATATCCAAAGCTCATTAAAATCAGGATGAGTTAGTTGGTTGTAGTCCCTTGTTAATATATTTGATAATTGCAATTTACAATATAAAATTACATATCTTTTTTGAAAAGCAGTTACGTGTTTTTTTTATCAATTGATACATTACATTATTGTATGCATAAAAATAATAATGATTACCAAAAAAATAATGGTGCTTTATTTCCAAATATTTTATATTTCATATTAAAATATATTAGATGAAGTATGAAATATTTCGTAAACTATTGATTTTCTGATAACTCTATTTTGATATTTTTATATATGTCGTAGGCAAATAATTATTTTAAGAAAATAGCTTTTGACTAGACAAATGCTATCTGCCCAGTTAGATGTCCGTTTATTTTTGTTTTCAATTGCTATTTTCTTAGTCAAATGTTATTTTCCTGAAATACTATTTGACTGAATCAGTTTTATGCAAAGTATTGGTATTCAATTAATTAAATATAATATTAGGGAATACAATTAGTTTTTGCCGTTTTTTTTAAAGCGCATTTATTTCTATAAAAATATGAATTAATACCTTAGTCAAAATATTTTCTATCGTTTTCTATTACTTTTTCTCATCTTTCTGGCAAAAGTTGGATTCCGCAACGATAGAACGAGCAGTCTTTTGATGCCAGACATGTTTCACCCATTTTCCAACTTCTTCGTAATTGGAAAAGTGTGTATCAGCAAG